AATGCTAAACTGAGCACCAGTGAGACCTCTAACCCTGAAACTGTCACACACACTCACACACACATGCGGACACACACAGTGTGAAACGTGTCCAGGGAACACTATGTATAAATCCACATACGCACACACAGAGGGCTAAAAGAGAAGAGAGAAAGGGGGTTTCTGCACTGACTTGTATTCCACTTACTGACGCTTCCACCAATCAAAAATCAACCTTGTTCCTAAAAATTATTCTATTGTCGTTTTACAGCGCACTATTTGTTTCTTGTGGAAAAGTATTCATGACAAAAATACAAAACAGTTAATTAAACATAATGACCTACAAAACAAATGCACCTGTTGTGTAAGGACCTTTATCCTTTAATTGCAATAAACTGCTTTTACTGCACCAACTGACAGTTTACACTTCATCTGTTAAAACTGGGGTTTTAACTGCTTGCATCTCTATTTCCTTTAAACAGATAAATTCAAGTGCTGTTTTTGTTTTTTTACATTCACAATGACAATTGAACTCCCTACAGGACCGTGAATGTAGAATATACATTTACATTTCAACTGCTTTCTGCCTTTTCGCCTTTTGTTTTTGACAACTCAAATACCCCAAGTAACATTTAATTGCTTTCACTCCTTACCTACCAGCTGTCACTTCAGCTATTTGCAGTGTCTCTTTAAAATCTCTGGCAATACAATTTCTGTTACAATTTCAACTGCATTCATTACTTTTTAAATGATGGTTCAATTCGCTTTCATCTTCCACACTTTAACTGACCGCTCAACTGCTTTTACTGCTGAACTCAAATTAAAATTTCAAATACTATCAGCAATTTCACTTTCAAAAGCCACTCCAAACCCTTTCAGTGCTTCAACTTCAGCTGACACTTCAACTGCTTTAAGAGCTGCAACTTAGATTGCAACTCCTGCTCCACATGGGCAAACAATGGGCAGTTTAAGACATTTTTTAACACAAAACAATGTCTACACCTGCACATTTTTTTTCTGAGCTAGTGAAAACAATCTGTAAGAATTTGCTGACTGCAAAACCAAAAGACGAAGCACTATAATATCCTTACATCGTTCTGTAATGTTCACACTATACTCTCTGGCTGTACTGAGCTGAGGCTTAGCAGTTGAGGCTACAGAAGGAGTTTAGCACTGGTCGGGGGCAGAGGGAGTGTATAGATTGGGATTATCGGGGTGCATTGGGGAAAAGGCTCTTCACTGTGTTTCCTATTCAACCAAAGTCCTCTAAGACCTCCTCATCTCTTCTGAGAGCAGCAAGCTGAGATCTGATCTAATGCCGAGTGCCACATGCGAGTTAGTTTGTGAGAGAGACACAACACTTTGATGCGAGCCTGCTGGGGATGCGAGTGTGTAAGAGTAATGAACAAGTCCAGAGAGTGTGTGTTTCTGTGTTTTCTGTGTTTCTGTGTTTTTGTGTTTTTGTGTTTCTGTGTTTTTGTGTTTCTGTGTTTTTGTGTTTGTGTGNTGCGAGTTAGTTTGTGAGAGAGACACAACACTTTGATGCGAGCCTGCTGGGGATGCGAGTGTGTAAGAGTAATGAACAAGTCCAGAGAGTGTGTGTGTGTGTGTGTGTGTGTGTGTGTGTGTGTGTGCCTGTGTGCTTACGTTAAGGGGTAATGAAGGAGTCCAGGGTTGATATATGTCTGTGTTTGTGCCTTGTGACTGTGCACTCTCCCTCATCTCATGAAGGGCTGTTTGGGGTATTTTGTGCAGGTTTTGCTCAGGGGGGAGGTAGATTCTTGGGGTCTTGCATTCAGATGTAATTAGCCCAGACAATGGCCTGGTTAAAGCTGGAATCCTTCGAGCCCCCGCTCCCTTTGACTGTGTGGGCCAGCTGTGGAGGAATGGCCATTATCTCCCTCTGTCCGGCAGCATAAAGAAGCCCCCCTGCCCCAGTTACCCCTGCGTTAGGGTTCCCACAGGGGGAGGGACATGGGCCGGTCACACACACTATAGTGTGGACAGAGTGAAAGCAACCAAAAATAAAAATATGCTTCTTAAATCTGGATTTCACAAGAAGACGGTTTTATAATCCACATGTAAAAAGCCACAGATGCTATGGTTGTGTGCAATGTCTTTGTTTTTGTTCTGTCTGTGTGAGTTTCAATCACAAATGTCTCATTGAGAGTTCTGCCTGCGCACAGGGACACTTAAGCCCATTAGACTTGCAATGAAATTGAATCTTTACAGCACAGGGGCCATATAATTACTGTTAATTTAACGCCCAGATTCTTCATCATTAACTCTCACTCTTGAATACAGAACACGGAAACACAGACAGCATGTGTGTGGAGCCACTGCATGTGTTGACAGCCCTTTGACTGAACTAACAGCGACCCCTTCGTCTTGAAAGAACAGGACTCGCATCGTGTATGCGTTATTAAGTCCTGTAATTGGGCAGCCAGTAGTTTGCATATTAGTCTATTAGGGTAATATGTTTTGCCTCTCTCAATACACGGCTTGCCAGAGCCCCTGGCGACACATTCGGTAATTCTCAGAATTACACCTAATCATAATCCAGTGTTCTTTCGATCTCTATAATTCAATATGCGTCAGTTTATGTCTGCGCATCCTTAGCTTGATTACAATCAAAGTATTTATCAATTAACCTCTCACTTCCAATTTGATTTATTTTGTGCGTTGGCCTTTAATTAAAGACATAAACATTTTTTAAATATTTATGTTTTTTATGGTTATTTGGTATAGCTAGGTCTTTAAGCTTGCCAACAAATTATTGCGAGCACATTTGATTTCAGAAATGTTGCACTGCACCTCCTTTTGAAGGTGAAACACGCATATGTTTTGTCCTTTGAGGTTGCTTTAACTTCTTAATAGCTGATATGTTTTACAGCCTCTGTCCCACTTTGAGCCAATACAACCACATCTCCTAAATACCAGTAGGGGCTAAAGTAGGTCCAGGCACCCCCCAGGGCAATAATAGGGTTTCAGATGG